GATGGGCAAGGGTGGAAGTCCTTGGGGCTGGAAGTCTGAGAGCTGATAGGAAGGGTAGAGTGGATGGCTGAGGGCTTGGGACTATCAGTATAGAGCTCTGAGGATCCCATGGGGTTGAAGGACATAGCTTCTTAATGTTCCATATTGCTATTGGGTTTACAGTAGCCCTTATAAGATTGAGACTAAAAGGCTCCAAGAGGGAACTTTATACAAGGAGCTAGGGAGATGATTAAGACTGGCAGGGCTTTCATGTAGGAAGAGACTGTAATGTAAAATCTAAAGATGGAGACAGATGTACCTTAAACTCTGGCAGTGTAAAATGGTCCAGATTAGGAGAAGGGTGAAGTGGCAAAGTACTACAGGTTTACAAATAGATATACGTGTACAAAAAGTTGTTTTGCTAGTTTAAATAAATGAGCATTTATTTCACTTGCAAATGAAAATTAACTGGTTATTGCAATAAATGGTGACTGTTTTAGAAAGCATTTTTGCAAGGTAATATTTTCAAAGGAAACAAATTTTATGTCAGTGCTAAAAGGTCCTTAGAATGCACTAAAAGGTGTTTAGTGAAAAATATTATTTTAGACATTAATTGAAGAAACAGAATTGGTTAAAATTGTTGGCCACAAAAAATAGTTTTATGACTAACAAATAAAACTGTTTAAATGAAATGTTTCTTTCGTGCACAGAGTAAGGCCCTTAGAGTGTTTTCAAAAAAATGTTTGCAGTAATGACCTTTCAGCACTGAGCCAACAATTTACAACTTGAAGTTTTGTGATAATTTTAAGTGAAAGACCTTTTTCTGATGCTCTGGCAATGTGGATGTACAACTTGGAAAACACATAATGCACACAGAACTTTGTCCAAGGAAAAACTTAAAAAGATGAACAAAGAAATTGACGGGAGCGAGATTTGAACCTGCGACCTCTGGAATACCGTACCGGTGCTCTACCAACTGAGCTATCTAGCCCTACGTTGGTGGTTCTTCCCATTTATCAATATCTCTGTTCAAGGGGTAAACTTGTAAAAAATGAGGTTCAGAACAGCCACTGGGTTGATTGAACAGTGCTGGTATTTTGGCTGCCTGAATGGGAACACCCATTTTTAAAAGCATACAATAGTTACAAACTTTTAAGCCTCAAAAGAAGTAGTATCAAAGTGTCGAAAGTCTTTCCAAATGGTCATTATTTGCAAATTTTGAAGTACATGAATAGCATCTTGATAACCTACATGTAAACATGAATGTTGTTAAATGTGCATTTATGAGTCAATGCATTACGATGAAAAGAAACAAATTCAAGGCAAACAATAGTCTTTCTTCAAAAGCAAACTGACCAATTGTCTATTCAATTTACAGAGTACCTTTTAAGTCATGAATAATTTGGATGTAAGTACAGAACAACGTCTCTATAACAAATAAGTCGGTAAACGGAACATGCCTCTTGGCTCCCAAATTTTCTTCTCACTTTCACTGAACATCACAAATTTGCTTTAAATTAAAGAAAAAAATTTGGGACTGGTGACAGTGACTCAAAAGTTAAGATGAAAATCACCTCCGAAATTGGAACGGCCATGTTATGAGCCCATAGCAAAACAAGAAGCCGCACAAGAGAATCTGTTTTACACGAACAAGAACACACCTGTATGTATGTGTAACAACTGACATTTCAACATAGGAAATAGCACCTTCTTTTTTCTGCAAATGGCCGCACCCCCTCTCTGTTTTGGCAAATAGCGCCCTCTTTTGCTAGGACTTTTTCCCTTTTTTATGGAAATCAGAACACTTTGATTTTTAGGCCTATGAAAATGTGACAATTGGAACAGTACCAATGAAATTGCAATAGTTAGGGAGGTATGCTACACCAAGCATTGTGTATGGACCCTGCCCTGTTTATTACAGCAGCATTGTGCTGTATACCCGTTTACACTACTCAAAAAAATTAAAGGATCACAGTCACATTTGTCTTTGAAATTTCAGCCAGATGTGTACCTCATTGACTTTACTTATTGTACACTGAAGCTCATAATCATGCTTGGTTGAGCACCATAGATTGTGAGACAATGCAATTGGTTAGTCCTGTTTCAGAGCCCAATTGCCTGGAAGGGTCAAAAAGCATGGGGCGATGTGTATTGCTTAGGTATTGCACAACTTAAAAATGACCATCTTTCACTCTCTTTGCACATAAATTTAGGATGGGATGACTGTGAGGCAAGGGGGTGAGAGACTGGGAGGGTCTTGGAGAGTTGGGGGGTACGATGACATGAATGAGACTGGCCAGTACTATGCGATGTGAATACCATTTGTTACAATTATTAATCACTACGTATGATACTTTGATCTTTTGAGTAGTGTACAAATGCAGATTGACTTGCTCCTTTACTAAGGTGGAAGCAAGGAACTGCATCTCTGAAAAGATTGAGTCCTTTCCTTGCCTTTTTGTGAATCAATGCCTAAGATTCTGATGAGGATCCCTCATGCAATCTTGGAAACTGTTCCTCCTCGGTGATGGAGGCGAGGACTGGCATCTGTCTGAGTTGCTTCCTCTCCTTGACATTCTCATGAATCATCTCTGTAGAGTCTCATAGGGTCTTGTCCTCCATCTTCCTTCTCTCCAGGTTGAAGGAGGCGAGGGCGCTCTTCTCATCAGCATCATGGTCTGCTTTTCCTGGGGCATACCCACAGCCTTCATAGGAGGTTGTCTGGGGAAGAAATTAATCACGAAAGCAACTAAGTTGCAGCAGAAATTGAGATCCTTGTATGCTCCTTATTTTACATCTTTTATTTCATATAAAAACTGTTAGTTCCTATTGCTTTTTATCCATGTCTGAAAACGAACTATGACAAAAGGATTCCATTGACACTGCTGACCCATTTTTTCTGAAAGCATTTTTGATTTGTACTGTTATTAAAATATTTTTCCAGACACCCCTTTAGGGTTTAGTTTTTTGGTCATGACCCCAATTGGCCCCTCCCCCCTTTCCCGGATTCATCCTTGCAGAAAGCCAGCAATGATATGACACACAGGACTCTTACCTGTGAGAGTTATGATGCAACCTGCCTCCTCACTTTAGAGATTTCATCGGTCAGTCCACTCGCACCATGATGCTAGCCAGCCTCAACGTTCATGTAGGCTGCCATGGCAGTACATTCACCTGGCAACGAGGCCTTCCCAAATCTAAACACAGGGAAAAATGACCAAAAAAACCAAGCAGAAAAGGTCACCTAAGGGTTTTCTGTAATAATGTTTCGCCAAATGAGCAAAACCTGTTTATTGTATGTAATAATTTGTTTGGTATAATAAATAATATAACATTTCAACCCATCACCACATAGACTCTTATCATGGGTCGCTGTTAAATCCATAAAACCATACAATGCTGGGGAGTGCAGGGTGTAACAGGCTGGGTGGGGTCAGGGCCCAATTTCATGGGGCTTCTGAAGACAGAAGAAAAATTGTGCTACTTCAGCTGAAAAATGTGCTAACCTTGAGCGCTATTTCATGGCGGTGCTCAGGGTAGTTGTGTTAAGAGTTCCATGTGGATAGAGATTTCTGTTGTTACATCTTTAAGTTTAAGCAAATCTTTCCTCCAAGGTTAGGATGCATTTGGCTGTACTTACTGTTTATGACTTACAAGTGTGGAATAATAAAAGCTAAATCCATTGTACTTACTTCATCAATGCGTCACGTACATGAAGGTATGCCAGCGATTCCTCAAAGACTAATTTCTCGATGATACACAAAGTCACGAACATAAATGGATTCAAATGTTAACGTAATTCAATTAAAATGCAATGCTAACCCCTTGCGATTTCTTTTAATTTCTGCGAAAAATGACAGAGTGAAATAATTCAGAGAAAATTTATTGAAATTTAGCCAATAATGACAAAATGAAGATTCGAAGAAAATCAACAGCTTGACCCATTTCAATTAAAATGTAAGGCTACCCTTGCATATGAATTAAATTTTGGCAAAAAATGAGAAAATGAGATTAGGGAAAATTGAATTTTTGTGTACTCTGAATTAAAATGCAAGACTAATCCCTTGCAAAGTTACTGAAATTCAACCGAAAATTTCAGTCCATTTGTTTAATAATTAATTTAAGTTTGGCCAAAAAAATGAAATAAAATGCAAGGCTAAGCCCTTGCAAATATTAATTAAATTTTGGCCAATAATGAGAAAAATTGAGATTTGGAGAAAATTAACAGTACAACTCATTTTATTTAAAATGCAAGGCCAACCCCTAGCAAATTTACTTTCAACAAAAAAATGACAAAATTGAGATTTGGTGAAACTCTAATTTTGACCTATTTTTAATTAAAATGCAAGGCTAACCCCATGCGATTTCTTTTAATTTCTGCAAAAAAAAGGCACACTGAAAATTCAGAGAAAATTCACACTCTGACCAATTTAAATTAAATTGTAAGGCTAACCCCTTGCAAATAAATTAACTTTGGCCAAGGCTGACAGTGAGATTTGATAAATTTAAGGCTAACTTCTTGGAAATGAATTTAATTTTGGCCTAAAAATTATGAAAAGGAAATTTGGCAAAACAAGATTTGGGTCAAATTCTGATTTGGGCCCATTCTTGTGAAATGTGAGGTTAACTCTTTGTACATTTATTTGATTTGGGCAAAAATGACGAAATGACATTTGCTTGAAATGTTGAAATGACACTTCTGTGGCTGTACAAGAAAGATCAAATTCTGAAAAATGGGAAATTTTTCCATTTTTATTGAAAATTCATTTTTTCAGGGTGAAAAGATTTTTGCAGGATTCAAATTGATAATGAAGGTTAATCCCTTGCCACTTTCATTTTTTTCTGGAAAATAAAAAAAAATTGAAATTTGAATTCCTTGACAACAGGCTGGTGAGGCTTTAGAAAAATAGCATCAAAATGCAAAAGGTTAACCTGAACAAATTGTCTTTTCGTTAAATTCCTTGAAAATGTTTTGGTCATTGTACATCAAACTCTTTCAGACAGTACAAGCTCATCCTGTTAGATAGTGAAAACTGATTTATCTGTTTGAAAGAAATTTCAAGTATTTGGAACTATAAAATTTGGGGAAAATGAGTTTAAGTTCTGGAAAGCATAATATCTCCATCGCATGGTCAATCTTTGGTGTTTGAACGCAACCTTTTTGAACGGATTTATCACCAAGAAATAATAGACCCATTTTAAAAAGCAAGTTGGGTCACGTCAAACAAATCTGTTTTCCACATGTAACACCTGGATATTTTACCAGGTCAAAGTCACTGAGTTTGAATTTTTTCACACTGCTCTGGCGGCACGACTCATCCCCACACTTTCTGCTGCAGACTTACAACGGGCACCAGCCTCATAATAGGACAATATCAGACAACTTGGCAAATTGTCCAGCTACGTGCTGTTGCCATAGATACGAGCATAGCGGCCCAGGGCCCATATTGGAAAGATGTTGCGGTAACTTGTGTAGCTGATTGCACAGGACTTGTTGAATACACCCTTGATATTTTCCTGCGGTTGGGAAAAACAAGCAACTATTAAAATGAGACAAACATTTCCAATTTTGTCAAATCTTACAATGGGAAATGCTAACTGAATACTACTGCATTTTCGAATGAAAGGTCAAAGGTTACTGGAAACCATGTCAAAGGTAATCATTACCTGCGCCCAATCTCCATTTGGTAGCTGTCGGTCCATAATAACTTTGATGCCTCGATCAATGACATCACGCTCTGGAAATCTGACCGAAAAAGTTTAACATCTCTTTTTTTAAAAACTGATTGGGTAGTAAACTCTCTTTACTGACTTTTAGGCAAACTTCTTTTTTGAAGAGCATAGCAAGGAAAGGACGAACGTGTAAAAGTTTCCTAAGCTTCCAAACTGTCCATTCTTACGGTCAACCTCCATACTCAGCATACTTAGCACAGCAAGACCGAGGGTGCATGTTCTTGTAATGCTCTATGCTATAGCATAGATTTTCTTCAAATGAAATTTAAGGAAAAAAGTCCTACCTGACTGCCATGAGAGCTAGGACCGCCCAAGCCGTGTTGACGACCTGTGATGTCTTGCTTTGGACGTACCGCCTCTCTTCGCAGGATTCAAACTCCTCCCCCCATCCGCCATCTTCCATCTGCTTGGATTTGAGGAACATGCACGCCCTCCTGATCTGCATGGTCACCGCCCTAGAGAAGGGTCAAAACTTTTCGTTTTTCGTGTCAACAAAGATGGACAATTAGTGAATAATGGCTGAATAGTTGAGATTGGCGCCCTTACCCTGTTTCATAGCTGTATCCCATGCAGGCAAAGGCTTCCAGACCAAACCAGCCGGCGTAGGTAAAGCACACACCCCACGACCTGGTTGGAAGGAAACTAAATGTCCAGTAAACTTACAAAAGACTTTCCTCAATAATCAATGCATCGTGTACATGTTTCAATTTGGCTCGGGTTTCCAGAAATACAGAAAAGTGAAAAACTCTCTTGATTGAGACCTGTCTGGTTCTTCCAAGAAGTCTAAGGATAATTTTTTTCAGAGCAAACTGACGCACCCTTCCCAGGATCCATCAATCCTTTGCTTCATGGCAATGTACTTCAAGCCCTTGTCCAACGTGGATCTGATGTCCTCCTTGCGATAGTCAGGATACAGGGTGTTGAATTTCTTCAAGGTTTGCATGACAGCTGAGGTCAACTCCACGTAGGTGTAGTCAATCATGATATCACCTGCATGAACAAAAGAATTTTTCAAACCTCTAAAACTATTTTGCTGGTTCAGTTCTGCACTGATGTAATGTATGGCACATCTTTTTCCATACATTCTCAGAGCAAGTGAAAAAAGATTCACCTGCTAACTTAAATGGGTCTTGCTTTCTAGTGCAGATGTCTGATTGGCCAAGCTTGTTTGGGTGGAGCTGCAGGTACCAGAACTTCAACTGCAAATATGCGAAAAATGACTGAAAATTGATGTTTCAAAAAGGTTCTGGTGAAGAAACTTGAGGGAGAAATTCATAATTTGGACTGTAACAGCAGTTTTCTTTTGACTCCTCAGAAAGTCAGAATCTTGCCATTTGTGAAAAAGGCATTACCAAACACTTCAGATGGATTAAGTTTTTCAAGGATCACTCCCCCTCGCATGGTCTCGTAGGTCGCAAATCCTCCATCTTTGTTACGCATATTCAGAATCTGAAAATAATCACACAGGATCAAAATCAATTAGCAAGAACAAAACGGCGTGTCAAATCCGTACCTTTATGAGATCCTCAGTACACAAAAATGACAGATTAAACATCTTCTGTTCCTGAGCAGGATATTTTACCACAATGGCGGTGAGATATCTTACCACATCCACAGCTTGACAGTGCCTCTCCTTCTCTATATGGTCTCTGACAGAGGGGCACATTGTCTCCAGCATCAATGCTGCCTTGAGACCTTCCGCCGTACAGTCAGCTACAATCCAGCCACAGTCACGGGTACTGAATGGATAGCCCCCCTGGAAAGAGAATGGCAGTTCAGTTTCTGTTGTCACAAGTGACACCAGAGTTCACTGCTGTGAGCAGAAATGTTATGAGTACTGAAGGATATTTGAGACCCATTAACCAGAGCTTCCAACACTGAAAAGCCAGAAAGTCTTCATCACCTAACCCTTGACCTTTTAAAGCTGAACTTATCAAGTTCAATCAATCCATACTAGCCAGAAGGCACAATAAAGAATGGAACAAAATTCCATCCTACTTTTCCTGGGTTCGCTGCGTTTAACCATGACTAAAATCAATTAGAACTCATAGGGCACCATACAACAAAAGAGGAAACCCTGTGTTATGATTTTTTTTTTCGTACAGCAAGAGGTAGCATATTCCTGGAGGGACTGACCTTGTTCATTTGACGATAGTACTTTTGATAGTTGGGTGGATTGTCAGGGATCTGTGTAAGCTTCAGGAAGTCATGGGTGTGCTGCAGGCAATCATGTAGCTCCTTGTTCTTTGCTGCTCCAGCTTCCAAGAAGGCCTGGGCAGCGAAAGCCGTGTCCCAGAGCTGTGACCCATTGGTTCCCTGCAGCCAAGCCAACAACAGACAGCCGTCAAGGAAGTACACAAAATAATCATCACTCTGGCTCAAAAGCTGGCGAGTTAAACCAGAACATGGGAACTTCCACTTGAAATTAAAAAGTTCTGGAACCTTCTGCTAACTTGACTTAAGAAAATGACTGTTTTTATTGGAATTTTCATCGGAATGTAAGTTGGTATCCTGCAGAAATGTTTGGCAATGTATGAGCATGCACTGAGAAAACAGAACGTTCGTTTGAGAAAAAAAAGTTTGACAGAGGGAAACATTCCACATTGAGGACTTGTTCTTTAGTTTTAGGTCGACAACAGGAAAGACTTCAGAATCAACAAAGCCTCATGGGCCTCTTTCACATTTGAAGAAAACTACAACTAAAAATTTATAAGAGGTTAGATTTTTGTTCAAAGAAAATGATAAACAAAATTACCTGCATTTTCATGCCATCTAAACCAATCCTGAAATGAAAAAACAAAACAAAATATTTAATCATAACAGCCCTTTTTGTTAAAAAGGAAAACTTTCGAAACCAATTACAACTCACCAAGAATCATTCCATAAACCAAATTCCATTCCAAAACAAGACAAAACTATTCCAAATTGAAGCAGTTGCGTAGTTCCAAAATAATTTAGTGTTACATTTTAACAATGTTGTCAATAGCCAGCATGTGACCTTAGATTAGCAAGTAGACACCTACATAGACAAACTGACAAACAAACTGTACCAGAGGTAATCTGGGATACGTTCCACGTGTTGTTTAAAGACCTGAGAGTCAGGTCCATCCGTCAACCATCTCACCAACATGTTGATGACTTTAGAAATCTGTGAACGAAATCAACCAATCAACTAAATAGCTCACAGCAACTTTCTGTAGAACCTACAAACACAAAAGATGTTGTACACATGCCCCTAGACCATCTGTTGTGCTCAAGATGAAACATTACTACCCTCGATCTCAAGGCCTATAAATCACTTTGAAAAACTTCTTTTTTATTGTTCCAGCTTTTCGAGAGAGAAAAAGCAAATCAGAAGACACAAACTGGATATAAGATAATTGGACTATCAACATTATGACATTACTATGCGTGTTCTTCAGGCCCTGATGAGGTTGATCATCTGAAATATTTTGCAAGAAAGCAATTAGCCAACTCTGCCCTCCCAAAAACTCCTGAAATGGGAGGAGCCTCTTGAGATAATGTGCCTTGCCCAAGGACACTCATACAGCAAGTCCAACAGAATTAATTCATTGTCTTATATTTGACACATTACACCGCTAAGCTGAAATGCTCAACCTTACAACCATCACGGGTTGCTCCTTTTTCAAATCGTAACCAACTTGTGGCAAACTGTCCTGCTTCTGGACATACACACTATCAAACGGTTACACACTTACAGGCCCAATGCTAATGCACTTGGTGAACTGATCATCAGCTCGAATGTGATCAAGGCACTCATCAAGAGCCATCTGGCGAAAGTAAGTGGAATGATACGGCTCGTAGACGTCAAGGAAACCTGTCATGACAAATATCACATGGAATTCTTTAAAACGCTCAACAGGTATTTGTTCTCTTGTTACAAACAAGCAAAGCAAAGGTAGAGGTTAGTAGAGACCACTTACCAAAAGCTAGATTGTAGAGCCAGCTGTGGGGTGTGTAGAGATCTATCTTAGCGATGTTGTCCCTCTGTGCAGGCCAATTGATGGTATTGTAATCTTGTATGTAGAGTTCCTGAAAGGGAAATGAGAGGAAATGTAGAAATCAGAACAAAAAAGAGGAAAATGTTCAGAGGGAAAACCACTTCCCTCATCCCAAGGGAAATCGCCAACTTTTACACAATAAACAGAAGTGTTGACCACAAAAACAGAACAACTAGCGATGGATGAATGATGGGGGTTGGTGGTTTGAATCCCACCTGAGCTTGTCTTGGTGTTTATTCCTTAACTTCCATAGTTCCCCGATCACATCATTTTCTTTGGCCTCATGCATAATCCCAGAGCAGTAGCTCAAGGAAGGGTGCAGTTATAGAGCATTCTATGACTGGTGGTTCGAATCCCACCTAAGCTTGGTAAGGACATTTTGTTTACGTTTCCCTCTGCTAAAATTAGATTAATCCTTTTTAGCCAGATTTCAATACCACAGCAATAGTTAACAGGAGGAGAGCACATAATATAGTGACTGGTGGTTCGAATCCCACCTGAATACGTCATGGCTATTTCTGCTCACCTTTCGCAGTTCTCTGATCAAATCATCTTCCTCAGCTTGATACTTGACCCCGTAACAGTAGCTCATGGGTAGGTAGACTTGCCGACAATGGCACCAGATGGTGGATGGATGGGCTGGAATCCACGTCGGAAACAGCCTTAATTCAGAACAAAAACAATTTGTTTCATTTTCAAAATTCTCGGCTAATTATTATTGTCATTACTACTTTTGAGGATTTTCATTTTTCAAGCCATTTGCTAGTTAGTTTCAAGTTCTTTCACCCACATTTTTCATTACTTTGCATTTGTGTTTCAACCTGTGTTAACCATTTTATGAAGCTTTAGTCATCGTTCTGAAGGAGGTTAAGGTGCCATGGGTTTAGGAGTATGATGGACGAGCCTATTGTTACTCTGAAAAAACTAAAACAGCAATGGGACCCTAATGACCCCCCCCCACTCCAAAAAGACCACTTTGATGACTTGCCAAAGTTCCGGAAAGAGAGTGTGCATTCCCTCCCAGCTATAGACATTAAGGACTGACAGCCAGAACTTGCCCCAAGATGGAATGGCAGCGGCTCCTCCTATAGACAACATACAGCACAGCTTGAATTAGTATTTGAGGCTATGGCTACGACTTTTGCTACTGAGTTGCTTGTGACATTGTGGCTTACATGCTCAGTTTGATAAGGCCAAAGACGCTGTTATAGTCTAAGGCAAATAAAGAAACAAACAGGGACAGTGTTACAAAATGCTGTGAACTGATATTTTGGAAAACAGGAAGATGGTGTAAAGTTACCAGTTTTCTCACACAAAATGTCAAATCTTTCAACACAACAGCAAAAGTAATGTTATAGCCTTGTAATTATTTCATGATAACGCCAATTTCCTTCTGTTCTATGGGTTGATTTTAACCAATAAATGCACTCGAAATTTTATAATAATTTCTCAATTTTTGTTCATGCTTTCACATATATACCGATTTACATAAATGCAATCCCATCCCGATGAAAACTGGTCTTTATTTTGCTGGTACCTAATGAATGAAGTAACTTCCGGCATTTGACCAGATCTGGGTCATCAGCAGACACACCGAGCAATCTCATGGCCACGTAGTTAGTGGCACAACCAAAGACTGTAGCTGGGCCTTCGATATGTCTGGCAAAAAATGTACATCAACGTCAATTTATTTGCCGGTATTCTGCAACGTTAACAAAGAATTTTGCCAAGAGAAAATGAAAACTGTAAAGATAAAGAATAAAATACCCTAAAAACTGCAACAGATTTAATCAGTTTGAAAATACAGAGCTTCTGGCGCATAAAATGTTGTGGGACGAATACCCAACCCAAAAAGTTTTCAAAAAAGCAACATAACTAATCAAACATACATGTACACTGCACAAACACTTGGGATGTCTGTCCCATGCACACTAGTGAGTAGGATCTACAAACAGTTCATGCAACACCCGGTTTGAACAGAGTTCATGCAATAAAAGTTGACAGTTGACTCTCTTTGGATGAATTCAACAAAACATGCTGGTAGTGGAAATAAAAAAAGCGACGATTAAACATTCGCTACTCCGGAAAATGCAAGACGGAACGCAGTAAAAAGAAAGGATTATTTGCTGGTACGAATATGGACACTGCATTTGAGTTTTTTTGACATTTTGGTTTGTGTGCTTGTTTCGTCTCGCGCTTGGCTTAAGGATGCATTGATTGAATTCAGACTTACAATCCCCATCCACCATCCGGGCATTGTACGGAGCGCAGGTACCGGACCATCTCTTTCTTGACTGCATCCTGTAACTCTGTCTTGGTAATGTAGCACACAATCAGGAGTCCTGTCAAGATCAGGGCAGAAAATGTGTTGAAAGTTTTAAAGGTGTAAGATGACAACTGGAAAGTCAGAAAAAGGAAGGAAATTGGAGCTTCAAGAGACTTTGTACAGTGCTTTTTTTTTCTATTTCTTATGGGGTACATGAGGAGTGGAAACAAGGAAAATTACATGATCTAGGGAAAAAGTTGCACGCTTGGAATTCGGACTAACAATGAACCCCTTGCTAAAGTGAACCAGGATATAAGAAAGAAGATCTCTCTAGCTTATTTTAGGGGAGGGTCAAAGGTCACAGGTCACCTGGCATGAGGAAGAGAGGGCCACCATAGTCTCCACTCCAGTGGCCATCCTCTGTCTGAAGCTTGGAGTAGAAAAGCATCCCGTTTGTTGCTACCTCTTGGGGCGTGGTAGGCTTAGGGAGGGGTGGAGCCTCTTTGCTCTGAAAGGCGAAAGTGGTTTAGGGTGGAATATGAGCCTAGCTTGTCTCTTAAATTAAAGAAATTGTTTTTAACATTTCATTTTATGGTTTGACTCAAATAAGAGTAACATGTCTTTTCAGATTTGACCTTTCAGATTAAGAAGTCAGAACAAGCTTAAGAATATAACTTTCCAATGATTTTCTAAAAAATTTTGTTTCATTTTTACAAATACCCTTCAGCCATGTTATGATAAGTTCCTCTCACAAGAACTCAGAAACAATCTCCCTACATGGAAATTAACATGTGGATAGTGTACAATGCGTGAGGTGGCACACAGCCAGCCAACTACAGCACAGCTTTATCAACTATTTAAAACTGGTCATGTGACATGCTCCTGACTATATAGGAATGGCTTAATTGTTTAAGGAATTAATGAAATAAGAATACAACTTTAGTGTCAAAGACTCCTTGGGTTAAATTTTTTAATGAAAATCTCCAGCAGGTAGTTTTTATGCAACCAACAAAATCCACCTAAAAAGGCCCCAGCTGAAAATGACACAAATTTAACAATCTAGCATCTGTCTTAACTCTGTTGGAATCAAATCAGCACTGAAATAAATAAATTTCAAATTTATTTTGATGTTAAAAATCATTGTTGGAAATAAATTGGATCAGTTTACACAAGTTCAAGCAGCTTGACATAAAGTAATTTCCAGATACTGGAATGTCAGAAAACCCAAAATAGATTGTTCTATAAATAGTTGACCCACGTTGCCACCTTCCTCTCTACAAACAATAGATGGTCTCTTGGTAATATCAGTAACTATCAGTGCACACAGTATCAAAATAACCAACGACAATGGCAAGAGATAAATTATTGGATTATTTTTAGAAATTATTCTCTGGGGATATAAATAGGTTCTTCTGCTGATCTGGGTGAAGAATATCTTTCTGAAGAAATGTAGCTCATATAAGATCCAAACTTGTTAAACTATGTCAAAAATCAAACTGCAGGGCTTGGTTTTGAAATGCTTCAAGTGCATTTTAGTTCAAAGAGTTCTTATTTTCCTTATTGATGGTCAATAAGCACACAATGACCATTAGCAAAGTTTTGAAAATGTCCACCTTTTAATAATCACTGTTCACATGCCAAACTGCCAATCAAGATGGTTTAATCAAATTTAATTCATCTTTAAGCCACTTTTTACATGAAAAACAACAATTTGAGTGAAAAAAATTATAATTCTACAGAAGCCCATTAGTGCCAATTTTAACTTGGCAGAAATATATTTTATTGTGAAATAACACAATAAGTTTGCAAAATAACGCACCAGTATGGCAAAATAACCCAATAATTTTTACGAAGTAATCCATTAATGCAAAACAACACGGCAGTTTTGGTGATGTTATGAATGTTGCGCCCTCTTGTGCTTTGCCTCACTGCGCACGCAACGCACGCTAAGGTCACATGTCATACTTCCATTCTGGGTGCTTTCGTGCAGTTCCTCCTGTTAACAGGAGTACGATGCGTGCGCATTAAACTTGGGTCCAGGAACACATCCTCCCTCTAGTGAGAGTATACTCTCGCTGACCTGTGGGTCATACTCCAGCCATTCCAGCGCTCAGGAGTATACTCCTGTTAACATGAGTGACTGGTCCAGTCACTCAACCATTGTAGCTTTCTGAGATTACTCATTTGAATCTGATGTTTCAGGTCAGGTTGCAGCATA